AGAGAGGCAGCAGGAGAGCTGATGAGATGCTAGCCAGCGAATGAAGATGGAGGTGTCTTTTGCCCAGAAGCGAAAAATCAGAGGGAGTGGAGGGTAGAGCAGGAAACGACCTTGCCTTCTCAGAACTCTCAGCTTCTAAGGACAGGTCACGAGGATGATGTTGGAGAATATATCCAGAAGTCCTGCGAGGTCTCACGTGCTTATGGGCGGGGCTTTTCAGAGGAGAGGTGATTGGATCTCGCCTTGCTGTGGTGTGACCATCAGCAGCGGATTAGTCCACTCACGAATGGGTTTGTGGCTGAATGCTATGCTGGGGGTGAAGCCTGATTGGAGGAGGTGACTGGCCAGGGGCCTGGTTTGGGTGGGCTTATTTTCCGCCCTCTTCCTCTCTCAATCTCCCTCTACTTCCTCTCTGCCACGCCCCGAGCAATTCTCTGCCAGGTTCCTCTGCCACACCACCCTGCCTTGGAGCCGGCTGACTGTGAGCTGAAACCTTTATAAACCGTGAGCCAAAATCAACCTCTCCCTGATTTTGAGTTGTGGGTGCCGGCACTGTGTCCAGCGATGAGATGGGGGACTGCCTAAGATGGGCCCTGGCTCCTCCTCCAAGCCACCTCTAAATATGAACAATAGAGAAGAAGCAGGTGACATTAAGGTGAAACTGGGGTGAGACTTGAGGATCGACTTCCCAGGTCAGGGGAACCCAAAATGAACCTGTACGGGCATCTGAGGATTTCCTTCTGACCAGCGCAAGGCAAGAAACTGGAAGGAAAACATCCAACATCAGACAGTATTCTGACAGGCTCTGCAGGAGCGCTTGGTTTGTACAAAAAGCTCAGAAGTTAGTTGGGTGGAGTGGCTCCTGCCTGTCATCCCAGAACTCTGGGAGGCTGAGGCAGGAGGACAGTGACTTTGTGAGACACTGCCTCAAAGAAAAAAGGAGTCAACTAGAACCACACACAGGTTGTTGTGTGACGGGTCCTGGCCACTCATGATGCTGGCTCTGAGAAAGGAGGTAGGGCTGGTGGTTATACCCACCCCACGTTCTGCCCGGTACTGGCTCCATTCTTGGAATACAGAGGAGTGAAGGAATAAATGGAGGTCTGTTCTTGTTTTCCATTCATTGATTCAAAAGTTCCTCACCCTTGGAGGTTATGTCTTCAAATTACTATTTGCAAATTAGAAGTCCAAATTCAACACAAAATGGACTGGAAAATGAATGTTAATGTTAAAAGTTTCATGCCTTGCTGGTGGTTATATAAAATTCAAAAATTACTTTCCGGTCACCTTGGAAAATAGCTTGTTAGTTTCTGAATAAAAACCAAGCCAACACTTAACTATCCCACCCAACAATCACACCCAATCATTTCCTCCAGAGAAATGAAAATTCCGTCTACACAAAAGCCCATATTTGGTGTTGATGGCAGCTCTAATATCTGAAATGTTTCTCAGCAAGTCATGGGTTAAGCGGACCACACTCAGCAGTGAGAGGGACAGAGCCATAGGCATAGGTGACCTCATGGAGGGATGTCACAGGCATCAAGCTGAGTGGGAGAAGTCAATCTCAGAGATCGCATATGTATGAGTCCACTGACTCATAACTTTCTCAAAATAACATTATAGAGACAGGAGCAATGGTTTCTAGGGTTTGTTCAGAGGGGAGGGAGGTGGAAGGTAGGGTGCGGAGGGCGCGCTGGTGACAGACAGTCCCAGATGTCACTTATGGTGGTCACACAAACTCCACATGTGAGAGGATGACAGGGAGGTGGAGACCAGCCTTCCCAGAGTCAGTTCCTGGTTCTCATTCTATAATCCAGTTAGAAATGTGTGACCTTGGGGAACATGGTTTGGGTAAAGGGACCTCCCCAAGCTATCTTGGCAACTTCCTAAGAAGACATAAGTATTAAAGAATGAAATGTTTAAAAAATATGAATTTTATTGTTAAAAACTTGATAAGCATCTTAGAGAAAGGACAGTAAGAGAAATCACAGGACTCAGAGTCATCATGCCTTGTGACCCTCAAGAAGCATCTGAGGCTGTCACCAGCCAGGGTGCTGTGACCTTAGGAAAGCTGGTGGAAAGACCCCAGCCTCGCTTGAGCCTTCCTGGTCTGACTGTGCTCTGGTTGTTTCTGCTTTTGCGGTGTGAGGGAATTAAAGCCCAGCTGGGTGCCGGGCTTGGTGTTTTAAATTATTTTATTAAAAGACAGGGCTTCCCAGTTGCTCCTGCTGCACTTGAATTGGGACCCTTCCTGTCCTGCCTCCCAAGTAACCTGGATTACAGGTGTGCACCCACATGCCTGGCTGTTTTGTTTCGGGACCAGGCCTTCATCCAGGGGCTTTAGGGATAGTGTAGCTGCAGACACCAAGGGTGAGCTCCACCCCCCACAACTCCCAGTCTAGGTTACTAGATTTCATTTTCCCTATTCCCCTATGCTGGCCTAAACTCCAAATTTTACAGTCCAGCCTCTGAACTCCTGTCCTTAGAAAAACAGACACTTGGACTGGCCAGATAGCTCAGGGGACTAAAGTGCCTGCTTAGGCAGGATGCAGCAGCTGGGGTTCGATCCCCAGTGTGTTGTGCTGGCCGTGTCCCCAGAACATGCTGAGATCATGATTGATACTGAGCGTGGTGGTGCACACCTATAATCCCAGTGCTTGGGAGCTTGAAAGCAGGAGAGTCACTACGAGTCTAATCTCCATAGTGAGACCCTGAACACCCTATAGACCCTGTACCAATTCATACAAGAAAGAAAGACAGAATGGTTCTTCAGCCCCAAGACCAAGAATTAGCCAGACCCCAGGACCCTGGGCTCTCGTGCCTGGGTGATAACAAACCCAGGCCACCAGGGCTGTTGCCAGGGGCTCCACAAAGCTGAGCCTGCACTCCCCGCTTCCGGCCTCATGCATCTTCCACTCACTGGGGTCAGAATTGCCACCCGTTTTTACATTCTCATCAACTTGTTCCTCATCTGGGATCTGAGCAACACTTGCTTCCAGACTCTGCACTGCAGATGCTCATTTAAGGTAAAGGCAGCAGGCACAGAACGGGCCCGTTCAATAGGTGTCCCCACACGGATGCTGCAGATACATGCCTTATATTCAAGTTTCCAACAATCAATAGTTTATAAATAAAGTTGCAACCAGGAAACGTCGGACAGAGCCACAGAGATGGGGACTGTACAGATAACTGTCTGCTCCTCTTTCAAAAGCATCAGGACAAAGATGGGGGAATTGGTCCAAATTAAAAGATGTGAAGGAGATAAGATAGCTGAACCCCATGTGGGGTCCTGACCTGAATCCTGAACCAGAGAAAGGGTCTTTTGGCAGGGAGTGATGAGCAAAATTTGAATAGAATAGTCAGAGCTGTGCTCGGGCTGATTTTCTGATTTTGAGAGTTGTGCTACTGGAGATGTGGATGGGGTAGCGAGCTGAGTGAGGACTTGATGGACTTCCCGGACTGTTAGTGCAGCTCTGTGATAACTCTAAGGTTATTTCAAAATATAACAGAATGAACAAAAGCAGAACAACAATAATAGCAGCTTTCACCCAAATCACATCAAGACCCTGGGCCCAACATAGACACAAGCTTATCTTCCAGGAATTCTACTGGCAGGGCCCAGGAGAGGGGACACAGGATGACACCTCTCACAATTCGGTGCCCTAATGCTTTCCTGACTCAGACAACTCCATCCCTCCAGCTTCCAGCCCCTGTTCCCACCTGGCCTCTCTTCTGCCACCCAGCCTGGAACTCCCAACAGTGAAAGACCCCGGGAGCACAGTCTCCCGCTCCCCACCTGGCAAGTGCAAATGGTCTCTCCTGGCTGGCGCCACAACTGACCATAGAGCGGAGCCATTCTGGGGTCTGTCTCTGACAAGCAGAGCACCCCTGGGAAGCAACAAGCCTGGCACAGCGGCTTGCTGGAATGACACAAAGCTCGCACTCAGAAAAAGCAGTACAGCCAGCTTTGGCCCTGGCAGCCCTTCTGACTGTCCCAAGGTGAGGGACACACCCAGGTCCTGGCACACAGCACTCGTGGGAGCACCGAGATGCCATCAGTCTGGCAGGGTGCCCACGCTGGCGCCTGGGGAGGCAGCCCTGGCAGAACCTGCCTCTTGGGTGGGGCTCACCTCCCCACTTTGGACCCTCTGCCCAGCTTCTCTCTTTCGGGACAGCAGTGTGCCACCCTTCAACCAGTTTGCCTGAAGTTCCCTGAATCGGGCCCAACCCCCACAAGTGACAAGGGTGAGCTGGCTGGTTGTGTCACTCTTGTAGGCTGTAACACTCTTGCTTTCCTTCCCAGCCTGGGTCACACTGCCAAACTCAGAGCAGGTGAGAAGGCACCACCCCCAAAGTGATCTCCCAGCAGGGGACAGAGAACAAGGCATTCTTTTGCTGATCTGATCGCTGAACTCCCTTGTCTCCTCAGTGTAAGGTGGGACAGGGGCCGCTCTGCAGGGACCTGGCTCTGTGGAGCGCTGCTGGCCACACCTCTGCAGATGACTGGCCCTGGGAGAGACCCCAGCAGCGGTAGGTTTCCCAGTGCAACCCCAACATCCCAGAGATCTTTGAATGGCAGGCCCCTCCCAAGTTATCCCAGAGGAGCCTACAAGAGTTAAAAGTCCAAGGTCTGTGCAGGTGACAATTCAGAAAAGTCCTGAACAGACCTATCCAGAGCACCCCTTCCATTCTAAACTTTTAAAAAATACCAATTGTTGGAGAAACCATAGCCTAAAATTTCCTTCGCAGTTTCCTGCCAAGGATCCTGCCTAGTTCAGGACGTCGGAGTTCACAGCCCTCCAGAACTAAGTGGCCTGGCATTCTTGCCCCTGCGGGGTTTTGCTGGGAAACAGGAAGCCAACCCAGTGGCATGAGCCCAAGCCCAGACTGGCATCGGGCCTTCGGCAGGGAGATGTGCGACAGACAGGGTGCCCGAGGCTGTCCTGTTCCCTTCCCGGGGCGCTCCCGTCCCACTCGCCCATGGCCACTGTTGCACTCACCAGCTCCGGCAAGAAGAAGGCGAAGGGGATGGTGAGCAGCAGGCGGACCCCCGAGGGCACTGCGGGCGGCGCGTAGCTGGTGGCGGGCGGCGGGTCGCGGGCGGCCATGCTGTTCCCTGTTGGTGCTCCCGGGCCAGCCGCTGCGCCTTCAAATAGAACCTCCGCCCGGGAGGCGACACACCCCGGGGGAGGGGACAGCGTCCCGGGCAGGTCCACCTGCGGGCGCAAGGCTAGGGTGGCCCGAGAGTCTCTCTGCAGGGTTCTCCTCTAAGATAGACCTTTGGACTCGGAGGGCGTCGCTCCACCGGAGGCCAGCGACAGCCACCCCTCGCCCCTTCCTGTGCAGAGCCCAAAAGAAGGCGTTTGGCGACCTACTAAGTGCCAAGCCCTCCGCGGAGACCTTCCCCCACCCCAGGGGCACTTTCGTCCTTATTCAAGTAAGGAAACCCGAATGAGTGGGGTCAAGTCAAGACCACCGAGTAGCCACTGAAGATGCTGGGGCATTTGTCACTTTGGTGTCCTGCTCGGTTCCACTCCTGACCCTCCCTCGCGGCCCAGGGCGGGCGAGGACTGGCCCTTAGGTCTCCCTCCCTGTCCCTCCCTCTCCCCGCCCCTCTCTTCAGCCCCTGCGCTGAGGGTGGTGGGGGCTACTCTGGTGCCCAAGCACCTCCAGAGGCCCCTGAGAGGGGCCTTTCCCGCCCTGCGCCCCAGCTCCTCCCTCGCTGGTGCCCCGCCAGCCGGGAGCTGCGCTTGCAGCCAAGTGACTCCTTCCTGACCCCCACGCTGGCCAGGGCTGGGACCAGAGGTGCGCACCACCCCGCCCACCCGCCCGCAAAGGACAGGTCCTGGAGACCCCGCTGCTTTCTCTGCGGATTCGCACTTTTGGGAACGTTCCAATGTGTATAACATCAGTTCTCTTTTTAACTTACCGCTATCACTATATTTATTTATTTATTTATTTATTTATTTATTTATTTATTTAGTTCAGGGTTTACAGGGTCTCACTACATAGATCGGACTGGTAGTAATTCTGTTTACAGCTTCCCAAGTGCTGGGATTACAGACACATCACCATGCCCAATCTCAATCGGCAGCCTGGGGATTGAACTGGTGCCTGTGTCTGCCTAAGCAGGCACTGTAATCCGCTGAGCTATTTGGCCGGCCCTCGATTTTTTTTTTTTTTTTTTTTTTTTTTTTGAGACAGGATCTCACTCTGCAGTTCTGGCTGGCCTTGAGCGGCCCCCAGCAGGCCCACCATCTCAGCTTCCCAAGTGCTGGGATTCGGGGCTGTGCCGCCGTGGCCGGCTGTACTTACAAGTTTCTGTGTCTCTGAAATAGTTCCGAAGCTTGCTTGCTGCCTTTCGCCCTTGAGTTTACACCATGTACACTTAATATTATTATTGGTATTTTTGGATCGCATTCACCATTTTACTTTTTATGCATTTGTTTTTATTCTGTTGCTTCTTTCCTGAAATCTTTTGGATTTTTTGAATATTTTTATTGCTCCATTTTAATTCAGTTTTTGACTATATCGCTGTGGAAAAGCAAAGATGAAATCTCACCGTCTTCCACACGACAGACTCCTCACAGTCTCCGGACGCCGGACGCCTGGGAGAACACTTGCGTACCTCAGCGTGCGCCGCCCTGCCAAGCCCCACGTTTTGTAGAAATGCCTTCGCACCTCGAGTCAGCTTCAGAGCCGCTTTCATGGCGGCGTCTTTGCAAGGCTTGTACACCTCTTGCTGGGTGCCCGGCTTTCCTGCCTCCCCAGAGTTAGTATTTGCCACTTCACATGGAGGATAAGGGTCTTAGCACCATGTGAGTCCTGCCTGCCTTTTAATGTATTAGTCATCGTATTAGATTTCCATAAGTCAAAAGCCCTCTCAGACATAAGGTCCTGAGTTCGATACCTGGTACCACCAAAAAGGAAAAAGAAAGCCCTCTCATACATGTCACAGTTTTTGCTCTTAACCATTGTACTTAAGAGAGAACGTATGAGGGACCCCTTCAGTGTATTCATCCATATGGTATGTCCTTATCATTGGCAATGTCACTGGTTTCCTTCCGGTGTATTTTTTCTCTGTTCAATGAATTCCTGTTGGCATTCTGGAGTAACATTGTTGGCAATGAATTCCTCTATTTTTTCTCCATCTGAGGATGTCTTTAGTTCATCTTTATTCCTAAAGAATACTTCTATGGAAGATAAAATGTTTGGTTGGCTTTTTTCTTGTAACATTTTATTTTATTTATTTATTTATTTATTTGTGAGACAGGGTCTGGCTATGCAGCTCAGGCTGGGCTTGAACTTGCTTTGTAGTGCAGGCTGGTCTTGAATTCATGATCCTCCTGCCTCAGCCTCCTGAGCGCTGGAATTACAGGCGTGTGCCAAACACACCCAGCCCTTACAGCACTTTAAAATATTGTTCTACTGCATGGTTTCTGATGAAATATCTGCAGTCACATCTGGGCATGGAGGTGTGTATCTGTAACCCCAACACTTGAGGAGCCTAAGGAGGGCCATTGAGTCTGAGTCTGGCCTTGGCAATTCAGTGACTTAAATGAGACCCTGTCTTTAAAATTCTTCTAATTAATTAATTACATAGTTAATTTGGTACTGGGTCTTGTTCCTCAGCTTAGACTCATAATGATCCTCCTGTCTCAGCCTCCCCAGCACTGAGACTGCAGGCATGCGCCACCATGTCCAGGTTCAGTGGCCGGCAATGCGGTACCAGGGATCGAACCCAGGTCCTTGTGCTTGCCAGGCAGATGCTTAGACCACTGAGCTATCTCCCTAGCCCAAGACCTCGTCTTTACATAAAAATTTTAAAAGGGCTGGGGATATAGCTCAATATGAAGTCTCTGATTTCAATCTCCAGTAATACACATTCACGCACACACACAGAGAGACACAGAGACACACAGACAGACAGACAGACAGACAGACAGACACACACACACACACACACACACACACACACTGTCCTTCTTGCCCCCAAGAAAGCTGCAGTCATTCCAATTGTTATTCTCTTTATTTCATGCATTGTCTTCCTTGGGCTGCTTTCAAAATTCTTTTCTTACAAGTGAACCCCTTCTTAGTTGCCAGTCTATGCTCATATTAGAAATAATTTATGAATGTTTAGTTTTTTAATCTAATCTCTATTAAAATGTTTATAAAGTCAAGAGCAAAACAAAACAAAACACTGAAAAATTTTTTCTTTGTCTTTAGTAGTTTAGTAAAGATAATTCTCAGCTGTATCTTTCACCAAATGTGGGGAGTTTTAACCATTATTTCTTTTCTTCTTTTTTTTTTTAGTACCAGGATTTGAACTCAGGACCTGGTGCTTGCAAGCACTCAGGCACTGAGCTGCCGAGCTGCCGAGCTGTATCTCCAGTCCTTGACCATTATTTCTGACATAAATGTTCCCTAATTACAGTCTTTCCTCCTTCCATGATAAGAATACGAGACCTTCAGTATTGTAAAACAGGGTCCTGAACCCCTACTTATTTATTTGGAATTCAATATTTATTTATGTATTTTTTTTATTTTTTTATTTATTATTATTATTTTTTAATATTTATTTATTTTTATTTATTACATTTATTTATTGTGTGTGTGTGTGTGTGTGTGGCCAGCTCAGCCCACCAGGGGGCGGGGCTGACTGGCATGTGGTGCTGGAGGATTGAACCGCGGTCCCTGTGCTTTGCCAAGCTTGTTTCAAGTAGGTGCTTTAGACCACTGAGCCATCTCTCCAGCCCTATGTATTTATTTTTGAGACAGGGTCTCGCTACACAGTTCAAGTTGGCCTTGAGCTCACTTTGTAGCCCAGGCTGATCTCAAACTCCCAACGATTCTCCTGCCTCAGCCTCCAGAGTGCTGGGATCACAGGTGTGCACCACTAGGCCCGACTTGTTTATTTTTAAATTCTATTTACTTTTTGTTGTTCAGACTGGGCCATTTATAGTGACCTATCTTCAAGTTCTCAGATTCCTGTGTCATTTACATTTTACTGAATTCCTTGATGTATTGTGTTGCTACCGGATTTTGTCATTTTGGGATTATATGTTTTGCCTTTTTTTTTTTTTTTTTGTACTGGGGATCAAACTCAGGACCTTGTACTTGCCAGGCAGGCGCTTATGCCACTGAGCTATCTCCTGGCCCAAGTATTCTGCACTTCTAAATTTCAGCTTGGCTCTGTATGTGATTCTCTTGCTCCTCTGTCAAGCTGGTGTCTCGTACTTTTTGGAGCCTACAGTAGCTGCTTTTTAAAATATTTTTTTTTATCTTTTTAAAGAGAATGCAAAATGATTTTTAAAAAACCAACTAGAAACAATACAGAATTTTGCTAAATAAAATAATAGGAATTTGACAATGGTTGTATTACATAATGTTATCTTCAAATTAGTTGTTTAGATTACCAGATATAAACATACAAAAATGGTTTTAAAAAGTTTTAAGAAATTAAGAAAAAAGAGGAGGAGAGGGAAGAGGGGGAGGAGGGGGAGGAGGGAAGGGGGAGGAAGAGAAGGAGGGGAAGGAAGAAGAGGAGAAAAACTTAAGCAATGGGCCAGCCAGATAGCTCAAGGACTAAAGCACCTACTTAGGCAGAGCACAGCGCCTGGGGCTTGATCCCCAGGGTTCAGTGCCAGCCCAGACCCCAGGGCATGCTGAGACAGCAATTGAGACTGGGTGTGGTGGCACGCGCCTGTAATCCCAGCGCTTGGGAGGCTGAAAACAGGAGGATCAGCACTACGAGTCTGACCTACATAGTGAGACCCTGTCGACCCTGTACTAAATACATTAAAACAAAACAAAACAAAAAAACTTAAGCATTAACCGCTTCTTTCAATAGAGCAGCAGAAATCATTAGTACAGTAGCTGCTTTTACACCTCAGTTCCACCAGTTTTATCCTTGGAGTCCCTACCTCTTGGTTTTCTTTTTGTCTTTTCCCTTTAGAGATGTTGAGATTTTCCCACCTCTCCAAAGATCAAGCCATTTTGGCTTGTATCCTGGCCTCAATGAAGACTGTGTCACGGGACAGAATTCTTATTTAAATCTTATTTGTACATTGCTTTTTTTTTTAATGGAACTGGGGATTGAACTCAGGCCCTTGCGCTTGCCAGGGAAGCGCTTATTCCACTGAGCCATCTCCCCAGCCCTGTACGTTGCTGTTGCTTTTTCTTTTGCTTTAGCAGCTAGCTTGCGTGATGGGGGCCAGCCTGCAGGTGTGTCTCTAACCTCTCAGCTGTGGCTTCAAGGTCACTTCCATTTGCCATGCTCTCTTGTTCTACTCTGTGTGCTAGGGCCGGTGAGATAGCTCAGTGAACTAAGCACCTGCTTAGGCGAGTGCAGGGACCAGGGTTCCGTCACCAGCACCGTCAGCTGCACTGGCCCTGCTGGGGTGCACTTACCTGGCAACCGAGTCTGGGTATGGTGGCACACACAAGTAATCCCAGCACTGGGGAGGCTGAAAACAGGAGGATCACTACGACTCTGTCTGGGCTACATAGTGAGACCTTGTACCAAGTGCAGAAAAATAAATAAATAAATAAGCATATACTCCCTGTGCTGGTCTTGGACTTAAGACCAACCTGGAGCCCCACAGCTCGATTCTGAAATCCTTTGGTGTCTAGCATAGGGTCAGCTTTGGGGTAAGCATGGTAATGACAACGACAGGGCAGCCTTCTCCACTTGACCAGAGCCGAAACCACAGCGGCTTATGATTCTCTGCAAGTGCTTAATCATTAACTAATGTTTTTCTGGTTGTCTATTCTTTTGCCTATTGTCTATCTCCCCATCTCTGTCCCTCCCTAGGAAGTGAACGTCAAGGGAGCTGCAGCTCTGTCCCTGGGGGAACACAGTCATCGCACCCCCTCTTAAATGCTGCCCGGCACACAGAGCTTTGGAGTGATTATATCTCCCTTCTCCGTCATGAAGGCTCTGGAGATGGCTGCCTGTCTCTCTGGATTCCTCTTCCTCAAACTCGTCCCACCAACGCATGGCTTTTCCACATTGCTCAGAAGTGATTTCCAGGTTGCCCAGCACCAAAGGGTCAGGCCCGGAGAAAGCCCAAGATCCCTGGAGAGGACCCGGCAGCTGTATCTGTTAAGAGTTCCCAGCTGCTGTCTCGCAAATCAGTCAACCAGCTCTCACATGGGGTGGGCAAGTGCAGGGAGGGCCCTGAGTCAGCGAGGTGTTTGTGGCACCTATGACGGCTAGGGTGGGTGCATGCACTGCAGGGTCAAAAGACAGCTGTCAGGAGAGAAGAGGGAGCCTGGGTGAGGGGCTCAGAAAGCAGGAGCTCCCTGGCGCTTACATGCATGCACGTGTATGTGATCCCCTATATCGGCCTCTATGGAAGGACAAAGGTCTGCCAACTAAACCCTTGCTGGCAAAGTCGGACATGAATGGGCAGGTTAAGGTTCAATCTGCTTTCCCGAGTATGAGGAGTGGATAAACTGGGGGACAGGCTGCCAAAGTCCTGTGGGCAGCTTAACCCAGTAAGGACTTCCAGGTTGTACTGCTGCCCGCGGCCCTGCGTGCGTTCACTGCCAGTCGTCACTGAGTCAGACACCTGACGCCACCACTACCTACCCATTTGACAGGCCGGCCCCACACTTGCCCTTTCCTTGGCCCTGAACCCTGAAGTCTATCTGGCTGCTGTGTGAAGATCCCAGGCCTTCAGAGGGCAGGTCTGGATTCTGGGGGTACAGGGTCATCAAGTTCCCATGTTATTGGTTTTCTGAGGCGGATGTGGGGATTCACAAAATTTATCTGAATGCAGTGGTCCCCAGGGTCAGCTGCAGAGTCAGTCCACAGAGGACAAGTATGGACAGGAAGGACACTCGCAGCCTTGGGCTCTGTGCTGCCACACGGCCACCTACTTCCCAGGTCACAGCACTGCTGGAACCTGAATGTAATAACAAGACACAGAGATGCGGCTTCTGGCCACCTGACCGTCCTGTTGAGTGAAAAAGCCCTTTGTGGACAGAGGACACCTGTGGCTTGTTAAACAGATGGGCTTCTCAGCTGCTCCCACTTGCTCCTGTACCTACTGTCACTGATTGCACTGGTGTGACGTGGGCTATTCTGGCCTCATACGAGACCACAAAATTTTGGAGCTCTGAGGTTACCTGCTCTCAGGCTCCTACCCCGCTCCATGCTGAGCACCAGGCACAGGAGCCATGAGGGATTTCACCTCCAGCAGGTCGGACAGACATGCTCTGCTGGTGCAGAAGAGCTGTGTGGGTGGGGGTCTGGGGAGGGACAGATCCTGCAGGAGGGAGTCCCAGCCTCAGGGAGGGCCACAGGACAGTCCCTGCAGGCAGGTCACACGTATGGGCCGCAGTGGACAGGTATGGGCTGACTGCGGCCCACTGCTCATCACCCGCCCACCTCTCAGGATCAGCTCAAAGTGTGGCTCAGCCTTGCGCCTTGACGCCAAAGTGCTAGGACTGGTTTTTGGGCTGTTTCTGGCTCCTGGATAATCCCTTCCTGTTTTGGAAACTACAGAGTAGCATTCAAAGAGTGAGAGGTTTTGTTAAAAAAAAAAAAAAAAAAAAATCCCACCAAGATTCCACTAGTTGGAGAGAGGGTGGTCATGCCATGGCAGAGACATCTGTGCCCTGTACTCAGGACTAACTGGCCGTGGCCCTCTTTCTGGCCTCAGCGACACTGAAGCTCTTTCCTCAGCTGTCCCTGTACTTTTCTCATGTGTCAGAAACTATAAAGTTTTCCACACGCATGACACTTCCTCAGAGAAGCATGGAGGAGTCTGGAAACACATCCGCAAGCCAGTCCTCCCTCTCTGACCTCCATCCGTGGAAAGGAATCCACTAGCATAGTCAGTGGTTAAAAGCAAAAAGCTGGCACTTAGGAAACAAAGACTCTGCAGAGAAATGAGTCATGGTGGGGAGTGGTGCGGGCTCCTGTTCCTCCAAAACAGGTCTTTGGAGAGAGGAAGAGGCGGCACCTCAGCAGCGGTGTGGGACCAAGTCCTGCCTCTGTGGATGGTGTGGTCCTGGGCACAGGGAGGTGTTACCTAAGGGTGTCCCAGGGGGCCACATTGTGATGGCAAATGTGTCTTGGGCACAAGCACCTCACCTGTCACTGAGGGCAGATGAGAAGACAGGGATGGGACCAAACTGGCTCTTGGACACAGAGTAAAGCCAGGTTTACTTTTCCAAGGCCAGGTTCTTACTGGTCACTATGGTGATTTCACCATGCTAATTTCCAAGAGTAAGGACTGTTGTGGTTTGGATGGAATTTAAGTATGTCCCCAAATCTTCTGTGTTGGAAGATGGTCCCCCATGTGATGAGGAGCTGCAGAGACACTTAAGAGGTGGGGTCTGGGGCAGCTGGCTGCCATGGGGTACTGCCCTCAGCAGGGACCAAGGTAGGTCCCACGGGGTAGTGCTTGGCAGGGCAGAGTACAGGGTGATAAAAAGGGCCCTCCCTGCTCCGTGCCTCACTGTCCTGCCTTCATGTGAAGTCCCGTCATTGGCAGGCCTTCATCAGAGCCCAGCGGTATGGGTGTTGTGCTACGGGGCCTCCACAGCCGTGAAGCGAACAAGCCTCTTTTCTGGGTAAGTGACCCTGCTCAGGTATTCTGTCATAGTGGTAGAAAGCAAACTAATAAAAGGACAAGTTTAGGTTAAGGGTTAAGGTAAGTTAACTAAGATGTAGCCCAGAAGTTGAACAACCTGACAGATCTCTAAAAATATGTCTCTTTTATTGAAGAATAATGTAAAAATATCACTAATGGTTCTAATAATTTTGGTTAAACCCTTTCCAAACCAGGCAGACTTTTCTTCAGCTTTCTGAATTTTTAAATTTTTTTTTGTCATTTTGGGAAAGGGTCGCCCTATGCAGTTTAGGCTGGCCTTGAGCTGTATAGCCCAGGTTGGTCTCAAACTCACAACGATCCTCCTGCCTCCACCTCCCAAGGGTTGGGATTACAGGTGTGAGCCACCATGCCCAGCCAGGTTTCTTAAATTTTATTTGTACATGTAGTTTTTATTTTTTTAATTTTTTTTTTGGCAGAATTGGGGATGGAACTCAGACCCTTGCGCTGGCCGGGGAAGTGCTTGTTCTACTGAGCCATCTCCCCGGCCCTTGCACATGTAGTTTTGAAGTGTCTGTATCTCAGCGGTAGAAAATGACACATGACGACGTCTTTAGTCAGTGGCAGCTGCGCTACACACACGCTCTGCTCTCAGGCAGATGATCCACCGTGCTGGCGGGCGCCTTCAGCAGGAAGGCAGGGAAAGCCCCCACCTTCCTCCGCAGTAGCTGTGAGGACCACTGAAGGCACTCGATTAGTGCCAGCTGGTACCGTCAGCCCAAGATGCTGCTGCTCATCAGCAGTAGGGCTGGGACGTTCAGCCAGCAGCCAAGGGTAATTCAGGCTGAAGGCAGTTCTGATTAGCTCGTCTCTGTATGCAAAAGGGTGAGACGGTGCCACTCTTTGATGACTGCAAGTCTGATTTCTTTTGACAGAACACACATACTGATTTGAAAAGGCAAAAATTATTGATTAGGGGTAAATCACATTCAAATACCAGACTGAAGTGAGTGATTAACAAATGAGAAGGTAAGTTTTATTAGCAGAACTTATAAATTTATATATACTGGATATGAAATTACTGTCAGATATATGATTTGGAAATGTCTTGTGGATTGTTTCACTTTTCTGAGTAATCATAAATCCAGCTTTTCATAAGAGCTTGCTTTTATAGAAATCTATAAAGCCTCTATAAGCCGACTTAAAACTTCAGTTGGTTTTTAAAAAGGTTATCTTCAAATTAAGATACAACAGTATTCCTTATAAAATGTATTTTATTTTTTAAAAGTATTCATGTTATTGGATAAATATATCTTTAAAAATATAATCTGTACACAAAAGAGCAGGCTCCAGTCAGAATGCGTCAGTTACTTGGGGCTCGGTCACAGAGCCGTGCTGCTGCGCGCCAGGCTGCCACCCTCAGCTGGGGCTCCTCCTCCCCGCACCCAGGAAGTCGAAGACCTGCTCGGAGAGGTCGAAAGGCTCGTGGACGCCCCCCTGGGACAGCAGAGCCTGCAGGGCGCCCTCATTCTCATGGGTTTGCCTGAGGAAGTCAGCGATGATTTTCCACCGTGCAGCCTCCGTCTCCTCTTCAGCCCACCGAAAGGGGGGCAGGAGCGTGGTGTGCAGCAGCGGGAGCACACAGTCATGGTAGACCAGGAGGAAGCTGGCCTTGAGGAGCTCTCGGTCTCTCTGGGGAAACACCACCACCGCAAACAACCGTGAGCAGAGCACACCTTCATGCTTCGAGTAGGAGATTCTGAGCCCTGTTAAAAGCCACCTACAAGGTGGCATGGGGGAGGTGTCCTTTGAGCCTGGCAGCTAAAGAGCCACCCCAGAGCATAGCTAGGCGTTCCCCAAGACAGTCTCCAAGTGTCTCCATGAGTGTCACACACTCAAGAAACCATGGAGTTGCCATCTACCTCTGGTGACAAAGGGATGGTTCTGCTAAGACACAGTGCAAGGTCAGCTGTGTCTACTTAGCCCAGTAAGAGTGCAGCAGTGACAACCATCAGGTGACTATAAGGGGGGAGACAGATGTACACGTGGGGTCCAGAAAAACGAGACCCAGGCAGTAAGGAGCTGGCGGAGCTGGTGGATTTCCAGCAATGCCAGAGCTGGAGAGTAGGGTCCTGTGGTCCTGAGGGTGCCAGATCCTCCCCAGACAACAGAAGTGGTGCCATGGTGACAGGGTCCATCAAGACCTCATGCCAACGGGCCATGGCGGCGGCACAGAAGGCACAGCAGCTGGAGGGCAGAGTGACCTGTATGTAGCTCTCTGCACACAGACTCGCCCCGACCACACCAGCACCCAGGGCCACAGCAGTACTGCAATCTTTTGGCAAAGGCTGGGTGCCCATTGTGGCAAAGGCCATGTATCAGATGGAAGTCCAAATAAGCATACAGTGTATGCCTAAGTATCCGGTGTACAGCCTCCCACCCGCTGTTAGAGCTTTCACTTTGTTTATTCCCCCACAACCTTAGACCATCAGGCCTTTAGATAATCACTTGAGGTCGGGGACTGGCAAAGAGGACCATGGGAAGGCTGGCTGCTGCCTCTCTGTAAACAGAGTTTCAGAGAAACATTGGCTACCCTTGGTCGCCTGCCCTAGAGAGCAGAGAAGAGGACTTGCAGCTGAAGTGCAGCCTGCGGAGTAAATGTTTACAGCCTGACCCTTTACAGAAGTCATCTGCTAATCTTCAATTAAGTCAAACCGCTACTCACAGAGCCATGTGACTTCTACGGAATCACCATTCCAAGCAACACAAGCAGACCTCGCACTTGCTCAGCATCTGACACAGCCCAGGTCAATCTTATTTTTTCTGCTCCTCGTGTGATAAAGGTGTTGGTAATGAAAGGGACTTTTTGTTATATATATGGGATGTAAGTTGGCCAGCTGGGACACTGGTTTAGAAGCTTCCCTGTCATTTAATAAGCCTCAGGGACCCGAGGTGACTCTTGATCAAGGGCTCCTGCTCACACTGACAAAGGGCTGCACATACTCTTCTTAGGATGAGCCTTGCAACCAAAGTAACGCCCTACCTGAGGCAGTGCGATGATCTTTTTAAGCTAAAAAAACAGGCATTATTAGAACTGCAAGCAATCACAGCACTACAAATACAAATCTAGTGTGAAAAATTGTCTTACCTTCTCTGATCTTTTCAATGTGCTTTCTTTTTCAGCCCATGAACTCTAAAAAAGCCAAAAGAAATCTTATATTAGTTTGAGTATTCACAAATCCTCACAGCACTTTTATGCTTATTACTCTGTAATAAACTTATGGGCAGGATCAGAAACACCGCTCAGAATCTACACACCCCAGAAGCGACTGCAAAATTAGGCCTCTACTGCTGCGGGCAGAACAAGACTGACTGTACGGGGCTGGGCCACATGCTGCACAAGAAGTCCTGTTTTGTTTTGTTTTGTTCTGAGACAGGGTCTTGTTATGTAGCCCAGGCTGACCTTGAACTCACTACATAGCCCAGGCCTCCTGCTTCAGCCTCCCAGACACTAGGATTACAGGTACGTGCCACCAGGCCTGTGTTTCATTTAATTCAGAATTTTTTCAAAGTTCTGTAATCCCAGTGGTCTGGAAAGCTAAAACAGAGGATAGTAAGCTCAAGTCCAGCCTGGACAATTTAATGACTTAGTAAGACCTTGTATTATAAGAAAAAAGGAAAAGAGAGGCAGGGATGTCCCTCAGTGTGAAGGCTCTGGGTTCAGTCCTCGGCACTAGGTTAGAGAGGTACAAAGAGAATCAGGGACCTCTTGCCCACTGCACAGACCCAGCGTGAACAATGAAGTACTATTAGGCTCCTAAATTAGGCTTCTCCCGTTCAACAGCAATGAAAGTAGGCAACCCCGCCAAGCGCAATCCTGCCTGCCGCGATCATAGTATCAGGCGGGGCCAGAGAGACTACAGTGGTTTTGCAAGTAAACATTCCAATCTGTCCACAAGACATCACAAAGGCTTCTTGAGAGAACCGAGAACCCAGACTTTGGGTAATCCCACAGAAACAGAGACTGAATCCTTCACAGAGCAGCTCCCGGCAGGCCGGGCCAGGTGGCCGTGAGCAGGTGGCCCCGTCCCAGAGGCTGGGCTTTGTGCTTGTGGGAGTCTCCCATGGTGGCACCTGATTCCTGGGTAGTCTGAAAGCAGAGCCAAGCCAGGGATTCTCTATGAATGGACAGGGGCACCGAGGGGATGTTTCCCCCAGAGGTGCACAGAAGGTCTCAGAAGGCTTCTAGTCCATCCCTTGGGGCACTGTGGTCCCACCCTAGCACCTCCTGCCTGCAGGTCCTCGTGAGCTTACAGAGGGCCCTGAGAGAACCCAAGTGTCTCATGAAAGGGGCCAGCGGCCATACTTATCTAACAAAGACCAAACATGCAAGAGGGCACATCGGGGCACACAGCAGAGACCCCACCCACTTCTTGGGTCAGGAGACGCAGCCCTTGGGAAGCACGTTTGTACTAACTAAAACTGGAGGGGTGAGGCAGACTTAGCTAGGCAGCAGAAGAGACCCGGAGGCCCCATCCTCTATGGCAGGAAAACAGCCTAGAGTAGGCGCAGAACTCTCAGCATGTTGCACTCGGCCACTTTCAGGACCCAGCTGATGTCCTGTGTGGCACATGCTACCCACCCTCAGCGCATCCAGCACCTCGGGCTGCTCCAAGAGCTGGGGGAAGGAGGCCAGCATCGGGTGGCTGATTAGATCTGAAAGACACAAGAGGAGAAGCTCAGGCGCTGTACCTTGCTGCACTGGACACACAAATACCATTCACATTAAAGTGACCGCATCAAATGACTTCTTGGTAACACATTCTGTGTACTTCAGCCACAACCTCTGCCTATCCTATGCCTTGTCCAGGGGCTCCAGGAAAGAACCAAGACCTGGAGATTTTGGTCATGTGACTGGATACTGTGTGGGGAACACTATACTGTCTGTGAACAACTGCACGGAAGACACAATACAAAGCGCTCAGCAGTGGTCATGTGCAGGTCCACTGGGCTGCTTCACCAGAGTACCTGGGCCTGGCGAGTTCATAAACATGGAGATTCACATCGCATAGCTCGGGATGCCCTGGGCCCCGAGGTCAAGGTGCCAGCCAAGCATGTGCTATCTGGTGAGGGCTGTTACTGGCCCTCTGGAGAGTGATGCTATGTCCTCATGTGGCAGAAGACAGAAGGGCAAGCAAGATAGATTCCCAAGGTCACACTCTTCCATAAGGTCACCTGGTGCTGCCTATGAGAGGAGTCTCACTGCCTCTCAAAGTCCCTTCCTCTTAAGACCATCACCAGGGCAAAGCCCGGGTCTTGGAGCAGACGTGCAGACCACAGCAGGTACTTCTGAAATGGCAAGAGCACCACACTTGACAACCCCAAGTCCTTAGTAGAGAATAATCCTCTTCATAGCCCATTAAACTCATTCTGGTGATCAACTGTAAACAGAGCCATCAGTCCTGAGCCCCTCTCTTACTAGAGAGAGAAAAAAACTTCATCCCCTTGAAGAAGTAATGTCAGTTGTGAAGCTTTTCGAGAGTCGTTAAAGTGAGTTAAAAGGCCCAACTGTCGTCCCTTGGAGTCGTAGCAGTTCCTTGAGACAGATCTGGGCCGCTGACTCCTACTCAGCAGTGCAGGTGGCAAGTCCCAGATGGCAGGCCATCCACTCTGCCTGGCTTCAATCCTGCCCCTGGGTGCTCGGACCTGCCGGGCCTCTACCCCACCCCCCAGGGGTCAAACCCGTTTCTGAGCTCTCCCTTTAACTACTGCTGGCTTGGGACAGCCCTTCCTCTCTGGAACCCGGTCCTCTTGGTGTTCTCCTCTCTGGACATCACCTTCCTTCCAAGCACTCATTTCAAAGGACAGATGGCTCACTCGTATGACCTTGCGTGCGAGGCCTGCTGCTCCAGGAGGACAGGGACAACCCTGCCTGTCGCATTCACCACGGCTCTGCACAGTGCCTGGCACACCATACACACACACACACGCGCGCGCACACACACACACACACACACACACACACACACCTGTTCGCTGACTCACAGAGTTCAACTCACAGTCAATGAAACTAGACTGTTTTCTGTTTTGAGGGCAAGTCGTCTGACACACGCATTTCTCCTTGCAAGTTCCTTCACGTATGACAACTCATCGATTTCCTACCTATTTAACATTGTACTTGGAATAAATTTCAAACTCCCAAGAAGTTGCAAGAATAAAAACAGTACATAAACAGTCTGTATATTCTTTACCTTGATTGACTATATCTTGTTTTGTTTTGTTTTTTGAGACAGGGTCTCGACATGCAGTTCAGGCTGGCCTGAGCTCCCAATCCCCCGCCTCAGCCTCAGAGTGCCGAGCGTATAGACAGCAAGTGTCACCACACCTGGCTGGTTCACTGATACAGGACACCTCTACTTTGTGCATTTAGAATCAGCTATTTGAGGATTTTGGATTCTTCCCCAAAGCCACTAAACACATGGGAAAAGGACAGATTATTTAGAGACAGAAAGGGAAAACAGGGCATATCTGAGTTTCCAGCTTCAATAATCTAAAATGTTGAGTATTACCTGAAAGACATGACTGTTTTGACTCCCAAAGCTCCACGCTGCATCCAAAGTACTGATCCTGATGCTACCCGCATACTTTATTCCGAATGTCCCCCACTTGGGAAGTTATTTCTACGCAAAGTGCAGAGCGCTGAGGACGCGAAGCAGCAGCGGCTCCTTACCAGCACTCTGTGGGTTAGTTCTGTCTTTCAGCAGCACATCTCCAAGAATTTGCCGATAAAATACCAGCAAGTGAGAGCAGCACATGCTTCCAATCAGTGTTTCTGGCAGGAGGCTATTACAGAAGAAAAGAGGCTTTTGGTCAGCAATGCTCCCAACAGTGCTTTTTTTGGTTTCTAACTATGTATTGCTTTAGTGAGCAGTTCTGCTTTGTTTCAGCATCAGAACACATTTTAACAACTGAAAGAACTTGCAGGCAGGAGGGCGCAGTAAGCCTCAGACATACACATCAGGTGTGTACTTGCAGTCTTGGCTGTGCTGTAACCCGGGCTTCGGCTTCCTAAAACAGCACAAACATCCCTGCTAAATGTCAAACAGAAAGAAAAGCCCTGCTTTGGAAAGCAAGGACTAAGGAGTCACCAGCTTGAACAAAGGCATGTGGCTGCCACGCCTGCTGCGGTGGTGCAGAGGAAGTGCAGCGGGCGTGACACTCAGGGTGTGACACACCTGGACAGGTCAGACTCTGCCATTCCCTAGCTGTGCGGCTCAGGACTGACTACTACCCACCCTCCTTGGACTCATCTCCTCGTGTGCAGAGCATTTTGTGCAGCTCATGTTACCAAGAGTATCGTGAGGCGACGGTGGCCTGCCTAAAGCCAAGCCTGATGTGAGGGGCTCAAACCAGAAAACAATTCTATAGTGAAGCTGTTACAAGTTTAGGTTGTTGTAATTTTGGAATGTATTATGTAATCCCCATGGTAACCACAAAGAAAATATCTACAGAATACACACAAGAGGAAATGAGAAGGGACTTAAAAATGTGTCACTGTAAAAGGTTAAACACAAAGGAAAGTGGGGGGGGAGGGGATGAATACAAAAAGCTACAAACCAAAGGAAAACAAGTTGAAGTTTTGAAAGTAAGGCTGAAAGTAAGGCTCCATCAGTAATTACTTTAAATATAAATGGGTTAAAATACTAATCAAAAGATAATCAGAAGAATAGATTAAAAAACAGAATTCAGGGGACTGGGGAGATGGCTCAGTAGAACAAGTGCTTGCCTGGCAAGTGCAAGGGCCTGAGTTCAATCCCCGGTTCCGAAAAAAAAAAAAAAAAAAAAAAAAACAGAATTCAACTATACGCTTTCCATAAGAGTGTCTAGGTATAGGATGCCCATAAGTCAAGGTCATCAAGACTTAAATTTTTATGATCTTTAATTTTAGTTTCTAGAAAAGCTTAGAGGGAAAAATTATCAAGCAGGTAATGTCCAGGCCTCCAGCTGGTCAGAGGAGAACAGGCAGAACATGACCCTATGCAAGTACCAAGCGACAGGTTCCCTGGGAAGTCGGTGCCTGGCACTTCGGTTAAAGATCCTCCACCACTCCCTGCATTTCTAGAAACACTAAAAAGTATAAGACAGGCTCTCTTAGCATGTTCTTATCATACACACTAGCAGGCTTACAGAGTCAGAAATCATCTTCCAATGCTGCCAAAATTCCAACTGAGATTTCAGACTGGCTGCAGGGGACGAGCCAAGCTGCCTGGATATCACCACATGCTCTGTCACAGTTCCTGCTGTGGCTCCTGAGGGTTGTCCCAGACCTTGCCTCTGGTTCCCAGCCCACAGGGCAGTGCTCCCATTGCATGCTCGGACTCAGGGCTCATGCTGAAGAACAGCGGTTGCCTTTGCCAGGGGAAGGGCGGGACCTTCCTTCCTCCCGTTTGGTCCTCGCCTGTCTCCATCGGTCTGCAAGGCACCAGTGTGGGCACAGTGTGGGCCCTCCTTTCCTTCTGGCACCTTCCCACTGCATGAGGCAATGTGGCTTCACTTTTCCTGCAGAGAAATCTCTGGTTTTTCCAAGCCTGGGATAACTAGAAAGTTCCAGTCTATAAAAGGTTAGCAGAGCTGAAGAGGTAAAATACTACTTCTCTCCAACAGTACAAACTCAGCTGGCAGGAGTGGGATGGAGGTAGCGAACGGGCCTCCGTCAAGTAATACTCCTATTCTATTAATTTGTAGCAACAATATAATAGAAGAAAAACATGGTGTCGTTACCTGCCTTTCCACATGCACTGAGGTGGCAGGTGAGGGGAGCTGAGGGTCTACCGCTCACCGGCGGGTGCCCAGGCTCTCCCACACCCTCACACCATGGCCCGCACTCCAGAGCCCTGCTGCAGGGCCCAGGGCCTACGAGGGCACCATGTCCTGGACTGGCTTCTCTGAGAGGGCAGCCTGAGCCCCAGCCTCTACCTGATAGCCCAGGATGCGCCTCTCAGGAACAGGAATAGTAGAGCAGCATTCTCAAGACTGGGCTCTGGGAGGAGAGAAGAGCACAACACACACAGGCCCAGGAGGCCAGGGGCATGCACACCAGCAGGAAGAGCCCTACTTAGAAATGGCTTCACAGACACTCCCTGGCCACCTCCTGTGTACTGTGATCAAACGAATGCCTCTGTCCCAGAGTTCTGAGGACAAGGCCGCAGGGACCTTCTGTGAAACGCAGCACATGGCAGAGTGGTCCTGGCTTTGGAGGAATGGGCTGCCTTCCTGACCCCTGCGCTCTGCAGCCTGACCTCCAGATTGTAAGGAGCTCCTGTGAGCTGGAAGGCGAAGCCAACGGCACAGCCTCAAGAGGGTCCCTGATAGGGGCTGGTGAGATGGCTCAGTGGTCTAAAGCACCTACTTAGAACAATCTTAGGAAAACACAGGAACCGGGGTTCAATCCCCCAGCACCACATGCCAGCCAGCCCCGCCCCCTGGTGGGCTGAGCTGGCCACACACACACACACACACACATAGCTCAGTAGAATAAGCACTTCCACCAAAAAAAAAAAAAAAAAAAAAAAAAAAAAAAATCCCCCACAAAAAAAAAAAAAAAAAAAAGAGGGTCCCCGATAGACACGCCTGGCAGCACCTTGGGCTCTCAGAGGTTCGGCTCTGGACCAGCGGCGGGGCAGCCAGAGAAGAATGAGGTCAGACAGGACGCGGCTCTTCTCTTACAAAGACTGCTACTGTGCTGGATTTCCGTCTTGTAAAAGAATAATTTTCCAAGGAAAGATTGCCAAAAAAGGGAATTTACAGCCTCTAAAAACACTGAAGAAAAAAAAAACCTAAGAGAGTAAGTAATAAGCAGAAGCACATTATTAATGGTTACTGAAAGATTTCCCTGTCAGTAGTGTAGTTATGGGAAGCACCTCAGTGTTGGAGGTAAGAACAAGCGATATTTAACCTTATAATCTGGAATAGCACAGCAACCACCCAGAGGGGTGCCCCAAGACTTCTCTGCCTGCTTCTTGGGGATCTGTGGGTAAGAGCCGTCCTGGAAGGGCAGTGCCCTGCACAGCCGGCCGCAAGCTGTGCCCCCTCCTCCCTGTGCCCTGGGTGCCCCTGCCCTGTGCGGGAAGTTCCTTTCTTCTCCCATGGCCTCTTCCCTCCAAGCCTGCAAAGTCTGTTCTCATCTTCCCCAGACCCAACCAGGTGAAGATTTTACGGCACCATCTTCTTGGTGTTATGCTTACATTTATTATCTAACGCTGAATAACGACAGGTGGCGCTATGGCGCTCTGCTGAGTGAAAGCATGGTGCGTTATATGCTTTCTTTCAGAGTTTTAAGGAGCTTCTACTGCTATTCCTATTTTTTTCAGAACAGTCTTAATATTCTAACAGTGGTACATAAATTACTTTTAATTCTAGTAAAACATGTAAAATAAAATACCTGCAATAATTTTTAACATACAAAGTTAAAAACTGTAAATTTTAAAGTCAAAATGTAGAGGCAACAAGAAAGAAACCAAAAGCACCCAAATCCCAGAGTAATAAGAATGGTCTGGTTTGGATAACATGGTCTTATTTGTCCATTTTAAAGACTGAGAGATGGCTAAAAGTCCACAAGACACTGAGTGAGAGATCGGTAGATCTGAGAGCCCACTAGTATAAATGCTTCTTAAACAAAACACAAGTCAAAAACACCCTGGGGAAGGGTTGGCCAGATAGCTCAGCGTACTAAACCACCTGCTTAGGCAGACACAGGGACCGGGGTTCAATCCCCCGCATGCCATGCTGGTCCCACCCCTGGGGTGCGCTGAGACTGTGATTGACACTGGGCATGGGGGCGCATGCCTGTAATCTCAGTGCTTGGGAGGATCACTATGATTCTGAGCTGTGTAGTGAGACCCCACAGACTCTGTACTAAATACATAAATGTTGGTATAAGAAAGAGTTAATATAGAGATGTGCTAAATAACCTGCAGGGCATGTGGGACAAGGAAAAAGAAAACCGGGCAGCAAAAGCTGCCAGAGTAACCAAGAACACTTGGAACTCAAGGACACTGTTTTGGTGTCCTTGCTCCCAGATGCCTAGCAGGTTCTCATGTATAGTATAGCCTACACATTAATCTTGGACACATACGATGGGATCTTGTTACGTTCACCTAAAGTAACCCAAAGGCTGAAACTCAATATATATAAAAATAAAGACCAAAGGTGGGCAGCAGCCTTTTTGCTCTAGCCTTTACTTTGCTTGCACTGAGTGTCCATGTGTCTGTGGCGCACGCCTGTGAGTCTTTCCCAACACATTACAAAAAAAACCCCAAACCACCACCCTGGGAAATCACCACTCACTTGTAAAAATGGCCAGAACAGAAAATACTAGTCATAGAAAGTGCTGTCAAGAATATGGAGTAAATGAAACACATTAGTGAGAGGCAAGCGGTATAAGTCGTTTTGGAATGTTTGGCAGCTTCTTATAAAGTTAAGCCAAAACCAGATGAGCCGGCACCCCTAATCCTAGGTTATTTCTACCTCTGAGAGCCAGGTGTCCACACCCAAGAGACCCGCATGCAAGCTGCACATGGTGGTGCACTGCTGGTCACCCCAGTACTCTCGGAGCTGAAGCAAAAGGGTCACAAGTTTGAGCCCAGCCTGGGGAATCAGTGACTCATTGAGAGCCTGTCTCAAAATCTAAATATTAATTTTTTTTTTAAAGGTTGGGGATGCAGCTCAGTGTGAAGGCACTGGGTTCAATCTCTAGTACCAGGAGAAAGAAATCTTATATGCATGTGTTTAGAGCCCTTTATTCTTTTTTTTTTTTCTTTTCAAAGTTTTATTGATAAACATATAGCAATAAGACAGTTTCAAATCAAATCGAAAGTACAGTTTCAACAAATAATACACTGCATATATTCTTCTTAAGGAGCCCTTTATTCTTAATTATCCAAACCAGACACAATTCAAGAACCTAGAGAGTGGATAAATAAACTGCTATGTTCATCAAATGCAGTGCTACCTAGAAAGAAAAGGAAGAACTGAGTACATGCAGCAGCCTGCATGAGCCTCCACAGCACTGCATTGAGGGAAAGAAGCCACATTCAAAGGCCACTACTGCGTAACTCTATTTCGGAACGTCTACAAAAGGCAAAACTATTAGGGAAGAAAGTAAGTGAGCGGTTGCCCGAGGCTGGGGGCCTGGAAGCTGGCTATAAACGGATGTGAGTTCAGATTTTTTCTTTCTTTCTTTCTTTCTTTCTTTCTTTCTTTCTTTCTTTCTTTCTTTCTTTCTTTCTTTCTTTCTTTCTTTCTTTTGTATTTTAGGGGATGGTCTACCGGTGTTCAGGGTCTCACTACTAGATCAGACTCGTAGTGATCCACCTGTTTACAGCCTCCTAAAAGCTAGGATTACAGGCATGCGCCACCACGCCCAGTCTCAATTGCCATCTCAGTGCACCCCGGGGGTGGGGCCAGCAGGGCAGGCCTGGGGATCGAACCCCAGGACCCTGTGCCTGCTTGCAGGTGCTTTAATCCACTGGAGTTCAGATTTTACAGTAAGGAGAATATTCTGTGTCCTATTTGTGGCTGTTTTTACATGATATACACATATGTCAAAACTCCAAGAACCTTGCACTAAAGAGTACATTTTGCTGTATGTAAATCAAATCTCAGTACACCTGATAACAAAAATGTTTCCTGAAGGTAGGATTATATATTGATAAGCCCCATTTATTTGAAAGTATCTTAATTATTCATGACCCAATCTCTCACTTGGGCTAATTAGGAAACAGGCAGTAAGTGGATACATGCTGCATTACAATGCTGCTTCCTAACTGATGGTGTTTGCTTTGTTTTGGAGGACAGGGTTTCCCTATGTAGTGCAGGCTGGCTGGGAAGTCACTACAAGCCCGCACTGGTCTCAAAGACCTGGAGATTTTCTGCAGTTACAGGCATGCTACAGGCATGTGCCTCCACGCTCAGCTCCCAACTGATCTTGGCCGGAGAATGAATGAGGAACCAAACAACTGACAAAAGTGGACTAAGCAGGAGGAGAGGCCCTGAGCAGCGGCCCACACGTGCTCCCAAGCCTGACAACAGGACAGGCCTGAGCAGTGGCCCACGGGTGCTCCCAAGCCTGA